TATTGGGGAGCTTGGGTGGCTCAGTCAGTTAAACATGTGACTCTTGATCTCGGCTCAGGTCATGATCTCATGGTTTGTGAAATCAAGCCCTGTGTCAGGCTCTATGCTACGCTGACAGCACAGAGCCTGCTTGGAATTGTCTCTCCCTGCTCCTCTCCCTCTTGCACATATGCACATACAATCTCTCTCTCAAAATAAATAAACTTTAAAAAATTATATTTATCATTTATGGCTCTATAGATGGCTATGATTTATCTATGTTCATGTCCTTCAGATTGTAAATCCTTGGGAGGAAGAAGCCAAACTCATCCATCATGCATTCCTGGTACCTACATAATTGGCTGGCATGCACAGGTGCTTGGTATACATGAACTCATCATCACCATTTCCCTCATGTTTTCTCATCCATCAAGTTGAAATAAGAATATTGTTTCTTGAATCCTATTTCTATGTGGTTGGTTAATGTTTGCCCAACATGACATGGTACTACCTATGCAAATTTATCTCCCAAGTTTAATCCAGGCTCTTGTGCTTATTTCTTTGTCCTAACTCTTGCACAACTATCTGGTGTAGGCTAGACTTTTCTTTCTCCAACTGGATATCTGATTGGCTGTAGATTAAAAAAAACTGTTGGCTTGTTTTCCTACAATTAGTTTCATATGATATGGTGTCCATTTGGTGTCCATTTAGGCATACATAAAAACTTGGAAGATCAGAGTTATGTTTTCGGAACCATATGGACATGAAATGAAATCTATAGAGGGAGAAGTTGCTGTCCTTCTCTACTGCTTTACTCTTAAGCACTCTAAGATATTATAAATTATCTTTTTTTTTTTTTAAATATTTTTATTTATTTCTAGGAGAGAGAGAGAGACAGCGTGAGCAGGGGACGGTCAGAGAGAGAGGGAGATACAGAATCTGAAACAGGCTCCAGGCTCTGAGCTGGCAGTCAGCACAGAGCCCGACGCGGGGCTCGAACCCACCAACCGCGAGATCATGACCTAAGTGAAAGTCGGACGCTTAACCGAGTAAGCCACCCAGGCGCCCCTATTATAAATTATCTTAAAGGAAAACATCTAAATAGTCTGCCCAGAACTATTTATGATGCTTCTATTTATGATGCATCCAGTCAAATGTAGGTTTTGGTAACTTGTGTTTCTTAAGCCACTAAAACAAGGTGATGAGAGAAACAGCCTAAAGCTCCATCAAGAGATAAAAGAATAAACAAACTGTGATTAATCAATATAATGGAATATTGTTCAGTAATCAAAATGAATAAACAGTTGAAATATGTAACATCCAAATAAGTATGCTGGGTGAAAGAAACCAGAATAAATATGCTGGGTGAAAAAATAACCAGATGAATGGGAAGGAGGGAGACAGAGAGAGAGAGAGAGAGAGAGAGAGAGAGAGAGAGAGGAGGCGAGAATAAAAGAGAGAAAGAGGATACATACAGTTTGACTTTGTTTATGTGAAATTCTAGAAAGTGCAAAATAATCTTCATAGTAACAGGAAACAGATCAGCTATTGCTTAGGGGTTAGGGAAAGGCCAGGAGGGAAATGAGGGAGGAATTACAAAGGGTCAGAAGGAAGCTTTTGGAGGTTATAGATATGTTCACTATCTTGGTTGTGAGGATGGTTTTATGGGTGCATACATTTGTCAGTTTGTTGAAACTTGTACACATATGTATTTTAAATACATACAACTTATTACATGTCAACTATACTTCAATAAAGATGTTTTTTAAAAACAAGTAGACATAGGTGAAGAAGAAGGGAATCTGTCCGAAAACATATGTATACAATACTGTTTTCAAAATGGTTTTCAAAGAAGAGGGATGTTCAATACTTGCAAAATACCTTTCCAGAATGACATTTTCCTGAGACTGTCATTTTCTAGGAAGACAGGAATTGTATTTTTGAAAGGAGCAGCCAGGTTGCAAGCAGATGATTAATTATCATGGAAAATCATTGATGTATCATCGCAATTTCACAGTATTTCTTACAGTTAAAATAAAGCTCCTTCATATCTCTCACAAAGGTATTGTGAAGCTTTAATTGATTTGTGTTGGTAAAAACCCTTGGTTACCGTCATGGAAAATAATTGAATTAAGCATCAAAATATAAATGTACAACTTTTGTTATTGTTTTTATGTTGTTTTTCTTTGCAATCATTGCAGGGTGCCAACTATTCTAACACATGGTTAAACCAGGGAAGACACTGAATTCAGGGGCTTCCACATCTGCTGATTTAATGTTAAATTATAGAATCTATAGAGGTGTTTAAGGAAACCTGTATAGCTATCTCTACATACTGGATAATCTTGTAAATAGCACCTGCCCACTCATTAAGGATACTAATGACTTACACAAGTTGAATTCAAGGATATGAATTTCTGGGCTTACTTTTATACTATATTTATGATAAGGAAGATATTCTTTGTCTTCTTTTGAAAAGAATAACTTAATATTAACTCAGCACCACAGTAAGAAAATACAATAAAAAATATGAATGACAGTATCGATCAGGAGCACAATGTAGACATTGTCCTCAGGGACACAGAGTAACTCAGGGTTTGTTTGAAAGACATTTAAACAGGTGCTATCTGGAGTAACAGACACTGCACACAGCACAGCAGTGACCCCGTAACTGTCTTTAAGTATCACTGGTGATCCATGCACACTAAATCCTCAGTAGCTGTTAGCCAGGACTACTCATAATTTCACAAGTCAAAGTGGTGACTATGAGTTAAGACTCACTGAGCAGATCTAGAGAGCATTGTCCCTCACTATTTGCAAAGCAGAGATAAAAAAGATGTTCCTATATTATCTCTATCCCAACCAATGTAATGAGACATGATAGCAGAGAAAACTCATTTCAAGAAAGTGTTGATCATTAGGCAACAACAAGGTCATTCTTTAAGAGATAAACATTATGAGGAGGACTCCTTGCTCTGGATCTAATGTGGAGTGTAGGAATCCACAACAAAGGGGATGATGAGGTTCATGTTTTGGATGAGAATGTTACTATGAGTCAGGTACACACACGTGCAATTCATTATGGTCAGCTGTAAAGAGTTCTGCAACTTATTAAGACTAGAATACAGTAGTCACAAGCTACATATAGCAATTTACATTTAAATGTAAGTTAATTAGAATTAAAAATTCATTTCTTCAGTTGCTCTAACCACATTTCAAGTGCTCGGCAGATACATGTGGTGAGTGGCTCCCATGTTGGACAGTACAACCTTGAATATTCCATTCTTACAGAAGGTTCTAGCAGATAGTATTGGGCTAGAATGAGGCTGAGGCCAACAAAGGGATGCTAAGGCAGGAACTCTGTAACAGGGACTTGAGAATGATGAGTGTGCAATGGTTACAAAGAGGCCATGTTGCTCAATTCCTGAAGAGAAGGGAGACCCTGGTTCATACTCTCGTAGCCTGGCTTTCAATAAATAGCCTAGAGTTAAAGCACTTTTTATGTCCCCATGCCCTCTGGGACCTCAAAAACTAAATGTGTGTTTTCCATAAAATATTAAATCAAGAGAAATTAAGACAGCACACTTAATGTGAAATAAAGTTCATATACTCCTGTTTAAACACAGATTAGAATTTCTGTCAGAACAATGCCAGTGAAAAGTTGACATTCTAATTAATACAATTTACATTATAAAGCACTGAATATCTTTATCTTGCTATTATGAAATGCCCTCTTTAAAAAAAAATCAAGGCTCTACTCAACAGGGAATTGAGTACCAAGGGCAATATTTAAAAACCCATGTACAAGAGAGGTGGTTGGGGTCACTGGCATTTTTACACACCATCAACCCAGGTCTCTAAAAATGGAAGCAATACACTCATCCTCTTACACATCATTTGGTCATCTTTTATCATCCACAAAGCCATTTTCATGCAGCAATAGGATTTTGAGGCTGTTTTACTTGCAATGATATAAAATAGACTGCAAAACACAAACACCAAAAGACTAAAACATCCTCTCTCTCATTCCCCTCTTTTCCTCTCTCACCTCCCTCTCTGTCATTTAACATCACAGGGAATGGTCTGGAACCCTGTGAACTCATGCACCAGGAGGACTCCCACACAATGTTTATTCAATCCAAATTCTGAGTGTGTAAGAGGGGCAGAAAATCAACCCCACAGTTGGGTACCCAAGGATTCGTGTTCATTGCCTTTGTCAATTTTATACTATCGGTGAAAGGAATAAAGATGAGATCCTTAAAGCTTGAATTTTCATTTCCTATGACAACGTGCTTTTTCTTCATGCTTTATCACACTCCACTACTTGGTTTCCACCCCTTCATAATTGATATCGGCCATTTGAAGCATTCAGTAAAAATCTCATGAGGTTCATCAAATGTCCCCCAGTCTATAATTCTTGCTTCTAACATATTCAGAAGCATATTCATCCAAGTATTTTCCACTTCCCCTCCATGGTTCTCCCTGTGCACAGGGACGGGTGTAATGACAGTTGTATTAATTATATGCTGAAAAACCCACATAGCAGCAAAAATGATGGAGATCATCGTTTTAAATATTTTATTAAAATAACCCAGTGTAGAACAGATAATGTAGACCCTCTTGATAATGAGAGGTTCATTAATTTTACAAGGATTCTAGAAAGCTTAGAATGGTCATCAAAATTATCTCTTTCATTTATTTATTTTTTAAGAAGAGGAAAACCTTCAATCATACTTTAGGGAGCAAGGGTCTAGTAAATTTTCTAAGGTATTTTTAAGTTAATTACTCGCCTTACTGGAAAAAGTTTTGAAAAAAAATAGCTAGAAATGTGGAGGATTTAGATTTCATAGTACACTGAAATGCCTGTAAATTTTCAGCTTCTGCAGTTTACCCCATTAAAACTTGGTTTCATTAGCATATAATGACTTCTGATAAATAAAAATTATACTCCCCATAAACAAACAAGCAGTGCATTAAAATCCTCCCATTACTAACAGCAAAAGCAACATGGTCTTGCCTACCAAGTGTGTCTCCAGGTACAGTTTAAGGCCATCTGTCTCTGCTTTCGGGGGTGTCCAATTCTCAGTGGTTTCCATGGCTTCGTTTAACCATTGAATGAATTCATCCAGCTTGTTTACAAACCCCTGGTGACAGAAAAGGGAAGGGGGGGGAAGGACAAGAAAAGCATGTTAGTTGGTCATTTCTTTAAAGGCAATTTTAAAAATTCCAAACATCACTGACAGTAAAAATTGATACCCCTGGACTCCCATTCTGGTTCCATACTGTAGAATGGAATTTCCATGATTCCCAGCACTGAAATCTATCAAAATGGAAAAAAATTATGCATGACTCCCTCTCGGTTTTTCCCTAGGAACATTTTTTTTCTGAGGAATTTGGATTAGATTGTCAGATGTCTTTGTAAAGAGGTCTTCAAATCATCAAAACATTTCTGGTGTCTGACAAGTGCCCCCAAACCAAAAAATCAGGTCAGGCCTGCTAGGAACACTCGCTGGCTTTGGGGATAAAAGCATTCCTGTAAAGATGGTGTTCTTTACTCAGAAGCCTATGGAGTTGAGTTGCCTTAACTGAACTACAAATCTATTTTTAAATCACGTAAATGTCTAAAGGGATTTGGATGAGTTCTACTGACAGCCCAACTGTCTGTGCCTGAGCCTGGGTTCTAAGAAGCAAGGAAGGGTACAGGAGGTGGGATCAGTGAACAAACACATAAACACTTGACTGGGTGTGTCCTGCACATAAAGAAATATTCTTGGCTAGGAAGCACAAATCACAGTAATCTTGCAATTTTTCAAATAGTGGTTATAAAAATTTATTGACCATTTAAAAGAACACATCTGTAGAAACGGAAAATATTTTGGAAAAATGAAAGCCCAGCTATGAACCTAAGGGAAAGGAATGGGGCTGGGTGGCTGTTTTCTGTGTCTAGGTAAACAGCACCACCTGGAGGTCAAAAGAAGCAAGGACCGGCCTCTACATTTGCATTCCCTGAAATGGCTTGGAGAGCTATTTCTCCTATTAAACTTAACCCGTTCTTCAGGTTTGCCTTTTGATTAATTTGGGTTAATATTCTTAATGCTTAACTTAAGATATCCTGAGACTGAGTTAAGAATAGGTGAAAATCCATTTTATCGTGCTTCTCAGAAGCTAGGCTTTGGTTCTTTCTCTCTTTCTTCTTTTTTTTAAATGTTTATTTCTTTTTGAGAGAAAGAGACAGAGTGTAAGTGGAGGAGGAGCAGAGATAGAGAGGGAGACACAGAATCCCAAGAAGGCTCCAGGCTCTGAGCTGTCAGCACAGAGCCCAGCGCAGGGCTCGAACTCGGAACTGGAGAGATCGTGACCTAGGCTGAACATCAGCCACTTAACCAACTGAGTCACCTTGGTGCCCTGAAGCTAGGCTTTGTTATTAAGGTTTCTCCTAAATAATAGTTTAAGATTTATAACCCCTTAATTCTAGAATTTGGCCTCAAAATGATTCCTAGAAAATGAGACAGAGAAGGATGGTAAAGAGGAAGACAGACAAGTAACACTCAGAAACACACTCCTGTCTGTCAAAGGGAGACAGAGCAGAGCTGTGGGCATTGGGACACATGGAGTCCATCAGAATGTCCCCTGACGCTCTGGTAATGCTGTCAGGCTGTGTAGAGCTCAGCTAATCATCCTGCATGGTAGTATATCCCATGCCTCAAAAAGCTACCCAAAGCTTTCCTTATTTTATCCCTATTGTGCCAAGACCAAACGATAATCACACTTATCCTTTCGGAAATCTACCCTAATCAAGTTGTTTTGGTAAAGCCAATAAAAAAATATCATATTAGCATCATCTTAATTAGAAGCTAAGGCCTATGCATTTGCAATTAATTGGCTGAGCTGGCAACTAGAAGATAGTTTAACATGCCTCATGTCCCAGCCTCCAACCCCAAACTAATGACCTCACTGAGACTTCCTTTGGTCATCGCTCAGCAGTGTTTCTTCCAGGTGAGGTGAAAATGTGTCCCACAGGGATGGTTTCAAGAATGTCACACAGTGCATTCCCCTACCAAATGCATTTTTCTGATGATCCACCCAGATCATCCTATTCTCTACTTTTCTCATATTGTGTCTCATTCTAAATGGTGAGAATCCATGCCAAGTACTTCCTTTTGCCCTTTCTCATAGATTGAGGGTATCAGTTTGTCTGCTCTTTCTCCTTTTCTACATTTCCATAAATTTGAGAGTTGCTTTGTTTTTCATTTCCTCCCAAATACTTGAACCTTTTAATACAGATGTTACTTCAGGCTCCTTTATTCATTCGAGCCTCCTATCTGTTTTAAACATCACTCCCCAAATCCCTCTTTCTGGTAGACTGCCTACAACTCAATACATAAGAAATTCTTATCTGACTTGATGTTTACCATAGATGTGTACAGATGTGTTGGTAAATCTGTGAGCAGAGACAATGGTAGAGCGTGTTAGAACTGATGTCCCAACTCTTCATGCTCTCATAATTAAATTCTATGAAAACTTAAGATATTATCTGTTGGCCAAATGGACTTACAGAAACATCTACAGAGCCTCATCAGAATACCAGAGTCTAGATGGTTGATAATTGCGAGGTGAAATAGTACTTTATATCACTAAATAGTATTTACTATTGAATTTGGACTTGAGTTGTTTTATCTGTAAATTGGTTTTGGAAGAACATTAAGTCAGGAAGGAAGTTATTTTGGAAAGAACTGATTAAATCCAAGAAGACAAATAGTAAAAGCTGTTATTTGAAATATGACCAGTTAGATACTATTCATTATCTTCTCTTCCTCCAAAAAGCAGGCAAACAAAACAATGCGTGTATATGTGATTGCATGGGTACTGCATCACAAAAGGTTGGTCTTAGCCAAAGAGTATTAAAAAATGTGTGACAGATTTCCTAACAGAAGCATGATTACAGAGTTAGCTGAAATCCATGAGATGCAGATTAGGCAAACTCACAGGACCAGGTGAAACTTCCTGGATGATCTCTCTGCATAGCCTAGCCAGACAGCAAAACCAAAGCTGTCTGATACAGAGGAAAGAGAGGTCTTTTCAAGGCTTCCCTCTGGGGTTCCTCTGAATTATATCCCTATCTCACCAATTTTCATTTGTTGCACAATTTCTCAACTCTTCTTGCCAGTGCTAAAAAGTTTCATCCATCCATCACAAGAGAAACCTGGAGAATCTCTGCAATTTTATAATAAAAAGCTAAACACTCCTCTCTCTTAGGAAGCTCTTAGCTTTCCACCTCCCCTCCTGCTAATATGTGCAGCCACAAAAATATAAACAGAAACCATAAAGGTAGATGAAAGTGGAGTCCATCCAATTTTTACCTTTGTCACTTGCTGTTTCTCTATCTCTCTCAGCCTCTTTATGTGTGTGCCTCTCCAGTGTACTGTGTAATGGACAGTATCCTGTGTACTATACCTATATCATGAGATGCTCTTGTAAGAAAGACCAACTAAGTGCCACTCAGTATATTGAACCAGGCATGCAATATGCAAGAGAATTCACTTTTGGATGTATGTAGTGAATATTTGATGCTAATTTTGAGAAGCTCCCTAGAGTCCTTGTGGTGTGAATAAAGGAAAATGAGGTTACATAAAAAAAACCACAGAGGAAAATACAAATTTTATTTTGTCATGAGGATCAAATCCTAGTATAACAAATATTGGGCACTCATTCACTTTTAAACTAATATTTATGAAGTGCCTCCTCTGTGTAAACCACACCTCTGGACATTGTTGAGAATAAAAAGATAAATAACATTGAGGCAAAAATTTCAGCAGAGCTTAAAGCATGAGTAAGCACTGGCCTATTCAATTCAAGTAATTTTAATAGTTAAAATTTTTTTTTACCATCAATAGAGTCGAACACTCTCCTGGATGTTTCTGTGAAACGTATTCTGCCTGTATCAGAATTCTGTCTATATTCAAACTTGTACTTATTCTTATTACATGAACCACCTCTGTTTCTCTAATATTCTGAATTCACACTTACTTACTCTGAGAGTCCAAGATGACTATAAAACCCAGATTTTCTTCGTGATACAATCCAATGCTGCCAGTGCACTACATAAAAGCACATCTTGTGCACATTCAACTCACTCCTGCAGGCTGAATTACAAACCTCTGAGAGGCCACATTTTAGCCTTCATTGTTCAAACTCCTGCTGCTGTATCTTATCTGCTTCATCTCTCTCCTTTCTTTTTCTACCACAAATGTCCTTATTGTCCCTTTCCATTACCCTTCTCTGACTCTTGTCACGCTCTCTAGGAGAGCACTGAGTATGACTCAGTCCACAGGCTCCAATCCTCCCACCCACCTCCTAAATGATATCCCTTAGTATAGGTCCCTTAGTATTTTCATTATCTGACACATGTTTTGAGAGTCTTTATACTCTTCACTAGAGCCAGGCCAGAATTCAACACCCAGAAGAAACCCTGGCCACCCAACATGAAAGAAAATGGAAAGCGGTTAGCCTTGTTATCACCAGTGGACAGCACACTTCCCAGTGTCAAATTATTTGCATTTTATTTTTCTAATGTTTATTCATTTTTGAGAGAGAGAGTGCACAAGAGCGGGAGAGGGGCAGAGAGAGAGAGGGAGACAGAGAGCCCGAAGCAGGCTCCAGGCTCTGAGCTGTCAGCACAGAGCCCGACGTGGGGCTCTAACTCGCAAACGAGATTAGACCTCAGCCAAAATCAGAAGCTTAACCGACTGAGCCACCCAGGCACCCCAAGCATTTTAAAATTCCTTAATGGAGTGCTTAAAAATCTTACTTTTAAACTTTCTAAAGCATCAGCATTTTTAAAGATTAAGCAGGTCAGTAAAAGTGCATGCAAATGTACACTTTCAGGTTTTGTAAAAAAAAAAAATAATAATAATAATAATTTGCTAGAGCCCTCACCTGGTTACATTTGAAGATCATATTCAGAAGGAAAATTTACACTCAAGTCTTGTACATAGCTACCCCCTCATGACAGGTTAAGAAGGCCCATTACTGGGTTACCTGGGTGACTCAGTCGGCTGTGCATCCAACTTCGGCTCAGGTCATGATCTCACAGTTCGTGGGTTGGAGCCCCACCTCAGGCTCTGTGCTGACAGCTTAGAGCCTAGAGCCTGGTTTGGATTCTGTGTCTCCCTCTCTCTTTGTCCCTCCCTCCCTCACTCACATTCTGTCTGAATCTCTCTCTCAAAATAAATAAACATTAAAAAATGTTTTTAGGGGCCCCCGCGTGGCTTAGTCGGTTGAGCGTCGACTTTCGCTCAGGTCATGATCTCGCGGTTCGTGGGTTCGAGCCCTGCGTCGGGCTCTGTGCTGACTGCCAGCTCGGAGCCTGGAGCCTGTTTCAGAGTCTGTATCTCCCTCTCTCTCTGACCCTCCCCTGCTCATGCTGTCTCCCTCTCTCCTAGACATAAATAAAACATTAAAAAAAAATGTTTTTAAAGAATGTCCATTATTGGGGCTCCTGGGTGGCTTAGTTGGTTAAGTGTCCGACTTTCGCTTAGGTCATGATCTCGCGGTTCCTGGGTTCGAGCCCCGCGTCGGGCTCTGTGCTGACTGCCAGCTCAGACCCTGGAGCCTATTTCAGAGTCTGTATCTCCCTCTCTTTCTGACCCTCCCCTGCTCATGCTGTCTCTCTCTCTCCTAGAAATAAATAAAAATATTTAAAAAAAAAAAAAAAAAAGAATGCCCATTATTTCTTTTATGTTCCTACCTATTTCTCTCTACAATAAACCCAGTCTGGTTAAATACAAACTGTGGACGTGATTACTGTTGCTCTCCAGCAAGCCTGTCACATGGAGCAGGAATAGAAAGGGAGAGCCTTCCTGGTGCCAGGTATGGGACCAGAAGATAGCAATACAGTATAAAACGAGACATAGTCTCTGCCTTATGGTGTTGTAAGCCTAGGGAATAATTTTTTTTATAGAATTACATGATTTTTATGCCAAATTGGAATTGAAACCTATTTCTCTAAAAGGGGAAAGGTGGATATATACAATAGGATGCTGTATTGTTACAAGTCTGTGGAGTGGTTCTGATTCTGGTCATTTTACAGATGAGGAAACTGAGGGTCAAAGAAGGTGAGTGACTTGCCAATGGCAGAGTTGGGATCTGAACCCATTTCTCACTCTGAAGTCTGTTTCTCTCACCCTACCACACTGACCTCTAGCAATAGTATTCTCAGAGACACGTCATGGGACTCAGATGAAAGACAAGGAACAATTCTTACCAGTCTCACAATCTTGGCACTGAGGCAAAATTTTCTAAGCTCTCAGTCATTTCTCCTTCACATTCACTATTTTCTGTTAATTTTTCTGAAAGAGATCTTTGATGAGGCTAGATACTTGACAAGGAACACACATCTTTTGTTTGTTTGTTTGCAAACAAAAATCACTGTAAATCTCACTTGTATCTCATGGAAAATTTCAATGAAAAATGCAGGGCAGTTACATGCTAGAATTAGCCCATTATACCAGTGCCTCAATTACAGATGAGTCTGACTCACCTTAATCATGAGAAGATGGCCCTTGTTTCTCAGGAGTTCAGCCAAGGACCTCAACTGGTAATTTCTTTGTGTTGTTTGTTGTTTTAATGTGTGTGTGTGTGTGTGTGTGTGTGTGTGTGTGTACCCCAAGAAAGATTCTCATTTCTCAGTGTACAAAGAAATGAAGCATGATGTCTGACCTCATCTAGATCAAATTAGCTGTCTTCAGACAGGGACTGGCTGAAGAGCACCACAAAAGGAAACTATTTTCACTATATTTATAAAAAATTGTTCAGTCTCTATTGTTGAATCTTGTAAACTTTATTAAAAGTATGTACTCTTTTCTTAGTATTCCAAGATTCAAAGATATGCTGAATGATCTCATCTGAACGATACTAGTTGAAACAATATGTTATCCTCTCACTGTATGCCAAAACCTTTTAAAAGTATTTTATATCCATTAGATTGTTTGAATTTCATTAAGACCTTGTGAGGTAGGTAGTATTGTGACCTGTTTTACAGGTGAGAAGACTGAGGCCCTGAAAGGTGAGGCCTGTGCAGTGCCACATGGTTAGAAGGTAGTGGATTCAGAATCTGAATCTAGAGAGCCTCACGGGCACCACAGGAAATATTGAAAGGCCAACTGATCTAACAATTCATCCAAGTCCCTGGAAGAAATTGGAAGTTGAAAAACATTTAAATAAGGATTAATTATGGGGGGGGCAGAAGTGGTTATATTAAAAGAGAAGAAAAACCATCCCCATCATGAACCAGTATGGATATTAGTAAGAGAACAGTTGTTACAACCAGAACACACTGAATTTGATTCCAGGCTCCACCCACCTCTTACTACCCGCATAAACCAAATGAGCTACCTAATGCCTCTGAGCCTCAGTTTCCTCATCTGTAAGATAGGGACAGCAATATCCATCTTGGGTTTACATGGGGATTTCTAGAAAATGTATATATTTTAAGGCCTGAGGTAAACCTAGGACTTGATAAATGATTTTAAAAAACCATTCCTAATTAACAAGTTCTAATTTGATCTTTTATCTCATTCACTCAAAAAGTTTTGATTATTCAGTAAGTGTGCAGCACAATGCTAGGCCACAAGGGAGATGGATCAGAGAAGCTCCCACACAGTTACAAGATGAGAGGGAACAGTGACTACTCTGGGCATGCAAGGGAGGGAGTTGTGACTCCAGGTTACTTTGGATTCCCCTATCTCCTTATTCCACCAGCAGGTCTGAAGGGGATCACATTTCTCCATTAATAGCCAAGAGTTTAAGAATAATCTGGCTTAATATTTTAAAACAGGCCACATGCTTTGGAGCCAGTCTTTACATTAGAGATGACTACCAGTGAGTAGTTGCAATTCTCTTAGCCTACCCACAAGGAAGCTTTATTTAGGCTCTGATAACTGGAAAACTTAGAACTCCATTTAGAAGCAAAAGTATGCATTGAGGTTTTATACATATATCTACCAATGTCTATATTTAGTGTTCCATTTCCAGTTAATTCATATATACATAGTTCCTATATGAAATGCCTAATTCAGATTTATACACAAAAGTACTCAAATGCAATTTACCTTTCCTTTCCAATTTACTTTTCCTTCCTTTTTTTTAGAGGGGCAGGGGAAGGAAAGGTAATCTATGTATTTAATGTGCTACCCAAGAGGCTCAAGATAAAATGTCAAGGAGTTAAAAGAGATGCTTTGGATTCTACCACCTCACACATTTACCAATGTTCCTACCCACAAAATCCAACACAGTGTAAGTAATTGACAGAAGGGAGGATATGGTGTGTGCTTTTAGAAAAAAGATTGAAAAGAAAATGAAATGGTTTAAAGCAGTTTTAACTCTGATGCCACAAGAAAACTCAAACACTGAAATGTTTTATGAAATATTTAAGCTTCTTTTCTAAAGGTTGAATGGGATGCCTTTAGAATATAAAAATATTCCTGATAAAATTATCCCAGAATAAAGTAAAAGGCTGTCAGTTGGAAAGAGAGCAAAAAGGCATGGAATGGTATTATCTAAAACTGACCAGGTGGGAAGTTCTATTCTGAACTCTATGTCACGTAGAAGGGATAAATTGAGCTGAATCATCATCTTCAAATACTGTTGACAATAGTTTTGGCTGGGAAAAGAAGAGCCCAGAAAGATGCCTGATTCTCACAATGTGAAAGAATTTTCTCCAATAAATCCAGAGTTTGAGTTCAGTGGCTGCTTATTGCTTTATAAAAAGTATTCAACACATCTAAGGGCAAAACAAGACTGAAACACATATCATCAAAGTCTAATAAAAACACAAATGAAAGAATTGGAAATAGAGTGGAAGTAATAATAGGTTACTATTAATTGAGCACTTATTATGTGCCAGGAACTTATTCAATTCTAACAACAACCCTACACTGTAAGATTTCCACATTCTCTATTTTACAGAGGAGAAAACTGAAATATAGACACGTTCAAGCACTTGCACAACCATGAACACTTTCACAGGAGTGAAGCTAGGGATCTTCCCATGGAATTTGGCTGCCCCAAAGATTTGCTTACTTTCTCTAAGGGAGATCTTGCATCAAGCACCCCAATTCCCCAGAGGCAGTGAATGACCAAATTGAGTCATCTTTATCTGCCCCTAAATCCCCAAGAGGACCTGAGATGTTCATACCTTAAAATTTAGGATTATGATAGTTGAATGGTTTATAGGTTTTTCATATCTTGTGTTATAAATAACAATCCTTCACATCTGGGTGACTGTCTACCAGTTATTTTTCTAATAACTTATGTAGTCATTGAGTCTTTATGAATTTCCCTATTGTATAAATGAAGAGGCTGAAGCATAGAAGAGATGCAATTTATTCAAGGTCACAAAGTACTAAATAGATAGATATTAAGTAGTTTTGTTCCAGACCCCAATCTCTGAGCTACATCACACTACCCTTCTGACCAGAGTTACTCCCATGAGGTTCACAGAAAGCAAAACAAAGGACAGGAACACCCAGTGTGGTCCATTCTTATTCCCCAAGCTTTGAGAGAACCCCAGCCTGAGCCACAAAGCTTTAACCATCCCCATCACAGCCACCTCTGTTAAGGTAAGTCCCACATTCTGTGCTCTTTCCAATTCCCCCTTTCCTCTCTTTCATGACCACTGTTTCTCTTTTGCCTTTTTCTTCTCTTTTCTCTTCTCTTAGTCACTTCTTTCTCTTGGTCTCCACTCCTCTCTCCTTTCTTTCACTACCCTCCCTTCTTCTCCTCTTCTCTCTCCCTGCTCATTCCTTTTCTCTTTTTCCTACAGCTTTAAGTCTCCCCTGACCTAATTAACTGGAGCAAATTAACCGCTTTTAATATACATTTCCTAACATATCCATAAAGTTTTGGTGAAAGGCACAGCTCCTTGACACTAAAGTGCAAAGCTGAAAATGTTGTTATAA